AATTTCACAAATGCTGTAATTTTCAGCATGTGAAGTAAAACGTTTCACAATTAGGAATTTCTTTAATAAATGTTACTGTCTGACTGATACTGAGTCACTGAATGAATGAATGAATGAAAGAATCTATGGCAGTGCTTGAACGTGTGAAATCAGTAAAAGCATTGCCTGTTTTGTGTTACATCGCAGAGGAATACCAAACAGAAAACGTTAGTAACCAATAAACTTACTAATTGCGGTAGGTAAACCCATCAGATCCACAGACTTGATTCAGTTCGGGCACGCAGTCCTCCCGAGACAGCTCGATGCATAAGAAATCTAGAATATTTTCTACTGATACTCCATTCGTTGAGGTCACGGGCATCAAGGTGGAGGTCACGGGTTGTTGGGTCGAGATCACAGTGGCGGTTGTGGGTTCTTTGGTTTTGGGCATTGCTGTGGAGGTCGGCATCGTTTTGGTCATAGCGTCGGGCGTGGAGGTCACATGGACAGAGTGTTGGTTTTGGATGGTGGTAGAGTCGCAGGCATGCCTCGCAGCCATGTGGATCTGATTATGCTCGGAAGCACATCTGACCCTCATGAAAGCACAACTGAAACATGCAAGATCAAGGACGTGTTATTTCTGAAGTTGGCTGTACCTGTGTTCGTATTCTTGAAAGGTCACTAATATGAAACCACGAAAAAGATCTACATATACAGACGTGGCTTAGTGATCCGGACTGCCAGTTTTGAACGATTACACGTCATGGTTGAACATGAAAAGCAGTGGCAAAATCGATTCATGGTGCTTACTGCTAGAATAATGTTCCACCTCAAAGAACTCAGCTCACTAATGTTCTGAAATATGGCATATTTTACTTTGTTTAAGGTGCCACAATTCGATTTCCAAAGGATTGCCCAAAAAAAAACTGGGTTCGAATCCCTGCTCGCCAGGATTGCTTTACATTTGTCAACACTCGCGGTGGGGTGGTCCGGCTTGCTGCCTTGGATGCCACATGCGATCGTATCCCAATAGCATGGATCGTAATTGTGTTTGATCATTGGATTGTCTGGTCAAGACTCGAGTAATTGCAGGCCGCTGCCTTACAGCTGGAATATTACTGAGTGCGGCGAGTAGCAACAAACAAAACAATTAAATACAACAGATGATACGACTCACAAGTCTTTATATGTAACCCCATCCGAGCCGCACACTTGAGTTCTATGGGTGTAAAATGGGCAGTGATCATCATGGCTGTCTTTCTGGTCGTAGTTATCACAGTCATGGAGATCCTTAAAGACATCGTTCGCGATAAAACTGCTTGCCCCTAAAACAAAGAGGTAAAAGCATAGCAGCATATTAATTGTTTGGGTTATTGACTGATTGACAAAATGGTCTAGTTAACACCTGGCATTATCAGTAGTTGATAGTGATTCATTAGACCCTGTAAGTGGGCCGCCATATAACTGGAATATTGCTGAGTGCGGCGTAAAACTAAACTCACTCACTCACTCACTGTAAGTGGCACGATCTATATTGTAGGGCGCACGCTTTAGTGAGTGAGTGAGTTTAATTTTACGCCGCTCTCAGCAATATTCCAGCTATATGGCGGCGGTCTGTAAATGATCGTGTCTCGACCAGACAGTCCGGTGATCAACAGCATGAGCACCGATCTACCCAATTGGGAACCGATCAGAACCAAGTCAGCTAGACTGACCACCCGATCCGGTTAGTCGCCTCTTACGACAAGCATAAGTTACTGAAGATCAATTCTAACACGGGTCTTCACGGGTTGGGTGTGTCCCGCAGCATGTCGGATGCAGCGCATGTCAATTCCAGTCTAAAGCGACCCCAACACAACACACTGTCTCCAATGTCAGTCAGGTGAACATTCCACTTCCTGAGGGGGATTTGGGGTATATTGTCCCACAGCACATCAAAGAAAACTCTAGCTGGAAGCCACTTATTGGTGCCGGGTAGAGGAGACATTCTTACCGGATCACCTGGTGACAGAGTTTCATGATCAGAGCTTGCCTTCTAATTGTGATACCTCTGCTGTCTCTCCTTCTCTTCGTCAAGACAGAATGTGACATCTTTTCTGTCATATGATCGAGATAGTAGTAGTTCTCTGGACACAGGTATTTTATTCCTAGGTCTTCTTCCCATGGACAATTGAGCAGGTGAGAGCCCACATGACTCTAGCGGTGTTGAGCGATAATCAAGGAGAGCAAGCTGTTTCTCAATTGCTTTCTTCCCAAGTCTTTTGACTGTTTGAATGGCTCTCTGTACTTTGATTGGGGGTAGTTGTGTGAAGATGTGATGTGCTGAATACTGTATTCTTCAAAGAACTGACCTCTGGAGGAGGATTGCGGTCCTTTGTCAGACCTCAACTACTCACGGATTCCGTGTCTGCATATCTGACTTGTCAGTGTCTCCATAGTTGTTTTGCAGCTCACATCTGGAAGTCTGTCAACTTCTATGAATCTAGAGAAATAGTCCACCGTTAGCGGGAAAGGCTTACCGTCAAAGTCAAAGATGTCGGATGCAATTTCACACCAAGGATATGCAGGGGTTTTGCTTGGTATCAAAGTCTCTGACTTTTGCTTGTTTTGAAACTCACTACACTTGGCACAGTCTCTCTCTAAACTCTCTATTTCTACTGTCATTCCAGGCCAGAACAAGGCTTCTCGAGCTTTTTGCTTGCATTTGCTGATACCGAGGTGAGAAGCATGGATCTGCTTCAGCATAGCAGCTCTCATACTGGGAGGAACAACGACCCGCATACCCTTGTACACGATACCTTCTGATATTGAGAGTTCATCTCTCTGGTTCCAATACTCCCTCAGACAATGAAGTCAACCATGTTGACTAATATGGGCTGAGTGTCAACTTCCTAGTCAGGTAAGTTTGCACGGCTCAACATGTCTCCAACAGGAATTTACAGATACTGGGCGGCCAAATATATAGTAATGCAATTTTCTACAGCTGCGAAAGAGCGCTAGCATTTTCTTTTCAATTTGAACATATCGTCTTTCTGCATCTGTGAGAGCCCTTGACGAGAAACCTGCAGGATGCCCATCTTGAAGGAGAACTGTTTCTACGGCATAACTACTGGCATCACACTGGATCACAACTGGTTTCTTGTTGTCAAATCTTGACAACACTGTACTGAAGTTCTTTGAGTGTTCTGAAAGGATTTCTTTTGTGACTTTTTCCAAAAGAAGTCTACATCTTTCTTGATGACTTCACGTAGTGGTGCGTCCACTTCGCTGAGATTTAGCAGGAACTTGGCCAAATACTGAGTCATTCCAAGAAAACGTCTCACGTCACCTTTGGACTCTGGAACTCCATCTCAGTCAAAGCCCTCACTTTACTTGGATCTACCTCCAAGCCGTTCTCTGTGACAATATGACCAGCATACTTCACTCTGGTCTGTTTCATCTGGCACTTTTCTAAGTTCAACTTGAGATTAAAGTCTGTTGCTCTCTTGATGACTTCTTTCATGATACGTTTATGATCTGTGCATCCATAATTGCTCTTGCTCCAGCAACTCCATCCGGCATAGTGTCCACGATACGCTGAAATATTTCAGGTGCCGACTTAACTCCAAATGGCAATCTCAGCCAACGAAATATTCCAATAGGGCTGTTGAAGGTCGCCAGTAGACTAGACTCATAGTCAAGACGAATTTGGAGAAAACCAGACTTTGCATCTAGAACAGAGAATATCCTGGCACCAGGAAATGAGGAGACTAGTTCCTCCACTGTGCGGATTGCACTCAAGTCTTTCAGGTCAAGGCATATCCTCACCTTTGGCCGTATGCATATGTCGGGCGTAAATTCTAGTCCGGGCGTAAGTAAAATGTGCGCCCGGCCGTAACGTTAACCGGTATGCACATAGTAGACGTAGTTAAAGTTACGCCAGTCGTAGCGCTCTATATTTACGCCACCTACCCAGCAGGCGTAAGCCAGGCGTAGCCTTGTAATGGCGGCACTGGATGCCGAGTTTTTTATCAGGCGCACATTTTCAAAAGTTTTTAAAAGTGAACGTTGTGCGAGAATTGCGCTCGCGTAGTCCTGGATCTGCGTACGGCTATAAAATTAAACAGAAATGTAGAATATTTAATTTCATATCCGTTGGTATAAATATAAGTGCGACTACCTCGGCGGTTTGGAAATAGACACTGCTAAAATTTTGTTACGCGTTAAGAAATTGTCAATTTCTCCGTTTTTTGTCGTGCACCGATAAAAGCACTCTGCTACGATTTTTTTAATTTGGCATCTTTACAGAAAGTGTGAGTGAAGAAAATACAGCCTGATATCTGAACGACGGTACATAAGTGTATATGAATTAGGTTTATGTGCTAATGCATAACGTTAGACGCTCAACATTAAAAATGAAGTGTCAAAAATGGATTTTCTTCTATGACGTCAACTGACGACAGAGTGGTCATACACGTATAAAAGATAAGGGGGCATAACTGAGTTATGCTTAACACTAGGTCAATGTTACTGAGATCACTTGGAGAAAAGTTGTTGTGGATACTTACGCTATATTTTCGTTATGTTGTGTTCACGGTGAACCAACCTATTCCATTACAAAGTTCCCCAATGTGAGCGGATACGTTTTGGTAGTTTCACAATTTATAAGAAAAGATGACAATGTACTACTTGAGAAAGCAGAATAGCGATTTGGATGGCCCTATCCGATATGTAAGTTAGTTCTTAGATTCCCATGTTCTCCTGTTTGTGTAGATGTATATAGAGGGGTTTCAGTGCCCATGATGCAGTGCGCGGCCGCCATGTTGGTTGTCAACCTTGGAAGCGCGAAAAGTAAACAAGTGCGATATTCCACCTGATGCCGATATGCCCGTTTCATGCGCGGTGTTTAAATGTAGTAATCGTGCAACCCGAGACAAGAAGAGATTTTTCAGATTCCCAGCTATTATTAGTAATAGTGATGAGAAAACAAGAGATCTCAGTCAGAAACGGCGCCGTTTGTGGTTTGCAGCTGTCAGTCGGGAGGATCTTGCATTCAAGGATACCAAATACATGCGTGTGTGCAGCGATCATTTTGTTGGTGGTAAGTACAATATGTGGCTATGGCCGGTAACTCTGCGTAATACGAAAGTAGGTTCGGTTGTCTTACTAATCAAACTCGTTATCCTGTCAGTAGTAGTATGACACCGATAGAAGGAATTATCTGTCTTTCCAAACCAGCTCTGGCGTGACGAAATTATTCGTTTCTGCGTCGACATGATCAATTCAATACACAAATTTTAACCCGCTTCGCTGAATTATATAAGGCCACAATATATGAAATAGTCCAGGTGATCTGTGACATATCAGGCTAAATTGAGGCTGTCACCGATAATTTAACAGTAGGAACATGCCTGAACTCTGCATGCCTCCATACTGCAGTACAGTTATGAAGTTAACACCACAAGACAATAATTGTGTAATATTGTGATGATGACGATAATAATCTTCTCCAGGTTCTCCTTCGGCCTTGTATCAGGACACCCATCCCGATTGGATACCAACTTTGAAACTTGGCTATGGCAAGGCTGACAATGACAACAAGGGTTCTCGTTTCTCCCGTCTGCAGGTAAAGTAAGGGGACCGTTCATAATTTATGGCTGGGGGGGGGTGATGGTGATGATTTTAAGGGGGGTCACCCATTTTGATTTTGTTCTGAGGAGGTAGGGGGGTCAGCAATTTTGTACACAAATTTCTTGGGGGGTCAGCAATTTTGTACATGGAAATATTTAATAATTAGGCTTACAAATATGGGAAGGGGGGTAATTGATTTTGTACACAACATGCAGAGGGGGGTCACTTACTTTGTGCATAAATTTTAGGGGTGCCAGTCACATTGTTCATGGTTCTCCATAATCACCCCCCCTGGCCATAATTTATGAAGGGTCCCTAAACATGTTTAATATTTTTTATGTATGTATATTTCATATGTTACTGACTTGTGACACTTAATTAAATGAAATGTTTCTGTCTTTCTGTTCATTTTGAAATTCCTTGAACATTCAAAAGAAGTCAAATTGAGGGGTGCAAGGTTAATTGATTTTTGCTGTAGTATGTAACACAGATATTCCCCTCAATCTTAAAAATTATTTACATCATATATATAAGGTTTATTGTAAGGACTTGTGTTCTTTGTCATTTAGGAGCGCAAGGAAGCATCAAGACTCCGGAACCTGCGGTTTGATCTTGAAGTTGAAGAGGAACTTTGTGAGGCAGAATCAGACACTGAACCAGTAGATCAAGAGCATGATATTACACCCGAACAGGAACTTAAAAGTTGCAAAATTGAAATTGACATTCTTAAGTCAGAAAATGAATCTTTAAAACATGAGAATAATCTACTTAAGAAGATAGTTCATAAAATGAAAGCAAATAATACTGAAGACTTTGAAGGTGATGATGATAAAGTACGATATTATACTGGTCTGCCTTCGTTTGTAACACTAATTGCATTGTTCAATCTTGTATCATATGGAATTTGTCAGTCTTCACATTCATCTCTGACAAAGTTTCAAAAGTTAATTATCACATTAATGAGACTCAGACTGAATTTACCCACTCTTGACCTAAGTTACAGGTTTGGTGTCAGCAAAGCTACAATTTCCAGGACATTTAATCAGGTTATGGATGTCTTGTACATCAACTTAAAACAACTTGTGTTCTGGCCAGATAGAGAGGATTTATGGAAAACAATGCCAATGGTATTCAGAAGGTATTTTGGACGCAGAGTGTCTGTTATTATAGACTGTTTTGAGATTGTTATTGATAGACCATCCAATTTGACAGCTAGAACCCAGACATGGTCAACGTACAAGCATCATAATACTGTAAAATATCTTATTGGCATCACTCCCCAAGGTTCTGTAAGTTACATTTCTGAGGGATGGGGAGGTCGTGTTAGTGATAAGTATTTAACAAATAATAGTGATTTCACCAATCATCTTCTCCACGGTGATATAGTATTAGCAGATAGAGGCTTTGATATACAAGAAATTATTGGTTTTGTAGGAGCGGAGTTAAGGATTCCAGCATTTACACGAGGTAAACCACAGTTAAGTGGCACTGAAGTAGAGGAAACAAGAAAAATTGCCAATGTAAGAATTCATGTTGAAAGAGTTATTGGTAGTGTCCGTCAAAAATACATGATCCTCAGCAGCACTATTCCCATTGATTACCTAATGACAAAGAGTAATGAAACTGATCCATTACTTGACAAGCTTGTCCATGTTTGCTGTGCACTTACCAACATGTGTCCATCAGTTGTTCCATTTGAGTGAAGGCTACTTATATCTTGTGAGACTTACAAAAGATGAAAAACATAAATGAAAGGTCAAATGTGTTTAATGTTGGCATATTTAGCACTCGGTGATACACCCACCTTGACATGTTCAATGGCGACTAGAACCACATTGTAGTTTGCATCTGATATACTATTATCTGAAAATTATGTAATCTATGTTTCTAACATGACCATGATCAATGTTGTTCACTCCAAGTTTTAAAAAGGTATTATTTGATAACTTCATCATTAATGATCATAGATGTGTTCAGATTGAATTAAGTTTAAAATGTCACTGGCAAGGAGGGCTAGTTATGTAAAACTGTCGCTTGCCCATATCATACTTCACAGGCCCTGCAAAATATCAATATCAGCATGCACATTGGTCAGGCCTGGTATTATGCTTGGTAATTACAGATGGTAGGTTATTGTCAACCCTTTGAAACAATACATTTGTATTGTAGTAATGGTTCCTAACTTCTTTTGCGCAATGCTGTTAACATTTTCTATATAGTGATCTTCGTGTGGCAAGAGATAATATATATCACTAAACTTTTGAGGACAGACTTTTAACACCTTAATCATGTTAATAAATGACTTCATCATATTCATGTACATTAAACAAAGAACAAATTATCTGATATACTGAACCAGTTGGGATAGCTTTGCTTTAACAGTATATTACTGGCCCGATTCACAATCAGCTAGCAGGCAAGTAGCTATTTCAAACACTGCGATGTGTTGTCATTATTCAAGCAGATCATATGTCACAAAATTATTTGTAAGTGAAGTCACATCTTATTCAAATGACTTTACTGATATTTTGTTTCACACAATAATTCAGCTGCATAATTATCCCAGCAACTATTGATGTCATAGACCATTTCACAAACCAATGGAAAATATTTCATACACAAGTCTATGAGTTACTGCTCAAATGTACAATCTGTCAATTATAGTAATAAAACTATTCTTAATGTGCTGAAACATTATCTGTGATTATTTTTGTTCTATGTTGGCCTTGGTGTAGTGCCAACAAAATATGACATCAATATCATTTTGAGAACAAGTTCAATAAAGAGGTGGTGTGTCATCACAGACACAGAACAAGTTGCTTGGTGTCAGCGAGGCTTGAGACACATAAGTAAAGTTATACTGATAAGATATTGTTCATGAAACATCACTCTTCACCATTGTATTTCCGCTTCTTTCTTGTGTTATTTGTAGAACAGTGTTTACAATACCATTTCCCTTTCGGTTTTCGCACAAGACCAACACACTTGAAGTGAAACCATCTGACTGTACATTCTTTCCCATCACAGCCAATATACCTCCTTCCATCTTCTGGCTTCTGGCATGTACAAAACACTTCCTTGTCGACTCTTTCTTCAACAACCCTTGTACATGTGTTCAAGAAATGACGTGCAACAATCTCTGGTAGAATAATGGATGTGAAGAACTGCATTGCATGATCAGCTACTGGTTTCCAAAATACCATACAAGGTGTAATTCTTTCCACAAATATATCATTGTTTGTCCAAACAACAAAGTCACAGTAATCATGATTAGTTACAAATAGCTGTGTTTGCACCTGGTAATAATACTGACTGTCCCTTTTAATTGCAGTGACCCATTAATCTCCTCTAAGTAAACTATGTTACTATCAACAAAGTCATCCTTTGCACAGAATGGACACTTAATCTCAAGACAGCCCCTTCCACAACAGCCACAGTCCACAATACCATCAGGAGTTGCCCCAAGATGTGGATACTCACAGCTGAGGAATAAGCCACATTCCTCAACACTGAAGTTATGGTGACGCTCAGAAGACAATTTCTCATAGGTGTCCCTAGCTGTTACTTCATGGCTACATCCCCATCTCGTAGCTGGATTAGAAAACTTGACCTCAGTCGGGTAACAGATGTGGCGAAGTAAACTCCTCGAAGGGTCAGACAGTGATGTACGATTGACACTCTTCATCTTTGATGCTGTTATACGGCCAGCCCTGAACTGAAACCAAACTGGGGAACACGCTTGGTTTCTTGTTGCTGCTTCCACTGCTGAAACCTCCTCTGCTGTAATGTTTAGTTGATTTATAACGTTGTGACAGTGTAGCAAAACATCATTGTATGGGATGCCAACCATACTTTCATCAAATAGTTCAGTGATCACTTGAGGAAATTGTTGTTGTAATGGTACAGGTACATACTGATCACTGTAATCACTATGAACCGCAAGACAAGATGGTTTATCTGCATTAATAGTGCGAAGGAAATTGTCAAAACTGACGGTAGATGCAGGTTTTAACTCCTTGATATGTTTAGCACTTGATGAAGTCGAACATGTCGTAGAACCCTCAATTAACAGGTCAAGTTTCTTTTTCAAAGTCTTTGATGAGGTGAAATCAATCTTTCTTAGACATGCATAGTTAACCTTTTTAAGAGAAGCTGGAAGTTTCCAGTATGCAGGTTGCTGTGTGACAGTGGCGGTTTCTCTTAATCTCACAATAGCTTCAACAGCAAACATCATACTTGCCACATGTGAGCATGATTCACCCAAACCCGCCATACAGTTACAATGAGCTGATAAAACTGTGCCAGCGTCATCAGTGATAAACCAGGGCTGCAATGGAGCTTCGTTCAAGCGCTGGGAATGCATAACCTGTGAAAATACAGTGCAGGAATTATTTTTTGTTCAGACATAATGCTATATGATATTAAGAAATTGATTGAAATGTGGCAGTTTTACTAAACCAAGGCTTTTCATCGCAGCACACTGAAGGCAATTAGTATGTACAAAATTTTATTAACACACTAAAGACATTTTGGATTTAGTATCAACATTATCTCTACTGTTAAATCAGTGTATAGGTAATTAAAATATTGCAGTACTCTACACAGGTTTGCCACAGATGACGAAAGTTCAAACTCCATACTTTCCCTGACTTATCCCTGACCAATTTGATTTTTCACTGATCAAAATTAAAAGAAAACAAATAAAATTTGGGCCTCCAAAATCCCCCTACAGCCGACCTTTCTATCCATTTTACTTAAGACAAAGTAAAATATTTAGACAAAGTAATCAAACAAACACAGAGATCAATCTAACATCAAGATGAAGTGTATGACACAGAAATATTACCTCTGGCAAACTCTGACACATAAGTGGTGATTTTCTTTTTTAATTTCAATGTTTTCATTTTAAAGTGCCTGTTGCAAGATTGAGGATCACCTCCAGGAAAAGGGTGACTTTGTATAGTATGAAATCTTACTGGTAGAAATACTGACATTTTCAACAAAAAAAAGAACACACAAAGAACATAGACATTGATAGTAAGAGGTCAAAAACAGTAGCTGGGACAGTATTTGAGTCAAACCCAAACATAAAAAGTTCAGCAGAGAGCTTGAGATTGAATATTTGGTCACATTTATGTGTCAAACATCCTTGGAAGTTATTCCAAAATATGTCTACAAATGGACACTGCCAAAACAAGTAAATTAAAGTTGATAATACCAATATCTATACAAAAACACATTTAATACAGACATGGAACTCAAATTCATACAATCGTTGCCTCAATGAAGTTTGAAAAGAACTAGTTTTCCCTGACTTTTTTCCAAAACTTCAATTTTCACTGACTTTTGTAACAAAATTCCCGGATCTTGAAAAAATAATTTCTTCCCTGACTTTTCCCTGACCTGTGGCAACCCTGCTACATAAACAGAGCCTATGTTATATTTAGAATATTATCATTGTATATTTGCAAACACATTTGTTGATGTAGGTAAACTATTGTTCACTTACTTTTGACATCACGACATGAATGGCCTTTCCATCTTGGACGGATAAATGCACATATGAGACGATGTCTCGTACCCAACCACACACAAATCTGTCATATGCTTCCAGACTCCTATAGTTTCTCATATCGGATAAACTATAAAAAGGACTAGGGCTGAACACCAGATAGTTCACGATGTCGACATAGTTTGTTGCCGGCAAATACTTGTGGTCGTCACTCCAATCCGATCTGGGAATCCTGTACGGATCTTCGTTGTCTATCACAATAGTCTTCTCGATATATCGTATGCGAGATGCTTTATCCAGTAAGTTTGCATAATTCTCCATGACAGATGGTTAGATGACGGACTGAAGCAGACAGACGTATGCGTAGACGATAGTTGCTAGTGACGCTATGGTTGCTGGGGACGCGAATGACAACCAACATGGCGGCGCGCACGGAATCACGGGATAACTCTGAAACCCCTCTATTGACTAATTTTGCATCAGTATTAACGGAGTACTAGCCATATCTTCAAATGTAATGAAATTACTGATAACAACATTTTAGTTGACGTCATGGCTTGTTATATGCATTTTGCGACGTCGGAAAAAGACGACATTGGTTTGCTGATTAGTATATATCTTACCTAAATTCCATTAATTGTATGAAAGGTCTCGGCTTCTATGTCTGAATTTAACACTCTTTAGACCAAACATAAAATGAATGATTTTACCGATTAAATAGTGTCCTGAATATATCAATAATTAAACGGTTTGACTGCGTATCTTATTGTGAGCAACACGCGCACCTGTTTGGCATCAATTTAACGTAAATGAAAAATAATATTTCACAACACCCAAATATTTTGCAGTTATGGCTACGTGTGCCAATTTCTTTTGTAAATATTATTCAAACAATCAAAAACTTTCAAAGAATAAAAAACGCCTACCCTATATCCAGGTATAATATGGTATTGAACAAGGCTAAATGTATATACTGAAAATAGTGTGATGAAAAAATATCTGAACGATACGCAAAGTATACATCATAATACTGAAAGTGTAATCGGAAGGATAGGGCGATTGTGTTTACACTTGTTCAACCGACCTTCACCTCAAAGAAATTGTCTAACATGTACAACAATGTTGACGTATGACATCACTACCACCGACCGATTACTTATAAAATGGCGGCCACGCTGACAAGGGCACACAGGATTTTGCGAGGACCCTTCCCTTGATTCAGGGATCGTTTGTACATAAATATGAGATGTAAGTAATCAGAATGATTCTGACTATATGTGTATTGATATAAACTCTGTCAAAAAAAGAAACGCAACCCCTGTCCTCAGATATGAAAAATTCGTTTGAATGAAGTTATTGCTTCCAAACTAAATTTTATTCGAATGTATTGAAATGATACACGTAATTAATGAAGATTACCATCCAAACAACTGCATTTGTACGCATAAGTGTATTTTATTGCTTATTCCGTCACAACGCATGAAATGACCCTCATGGTGACTTCGCACAAAAAAAACACATGCAAATCATGAAAATGGCAGTTAATGTAGGGATGTATAAAAGCCCATGTGCTTCCGTATTATATTCATTCATTTGTCGCCGAAAAGCTGTGTTAAAAATGCCACGATTGAGTGCTGCCGACCGAAATATCGCCATTGGTCGTGTTCAAGCCGGAGAAAGTTTTGGAACTGTTGCACGGCACCTAAATGTTCACAAAACAACGATATCCCGACTTTGGAGCCGCTACAACAACTTCAATTAGACCAACGATCGCCCGAGAAGTGGAAGGCCAAGAATCACGACCCCCCCCTTCAAGATCGGTACATCCGGGTCCATCACCTGCGTAATCGGCATGCCCTACCAACCGTGACTGCCACACAAATACCAGGTTTGAGGAGAGTGTCAGCTCAAACGATTAGGAACCGTCTGAAAGAAGCGGGTTTACGTGCCTGTAGACCAGTTGTTGGACCTGTACTACGCCCCCTACATCGACGCCGACGACTCAGGTGGTGCAACAACGTAAGGATACGGACTTTACAAAACTGGAGGCGAATCTGGTTTTCTGATGAATCACGTTTTCTTTTGCAACGTCACGACGGAAGACAGCGTCTGTATAGGAGACGTCATAAACGTTTTGCGCCCATCTGCGTCCGACAGGTGGACAGATTTGGCGGA